TAGTTTAAAAAATGATGTTGCTGTACATAAAATATGTGAATAAACACCTGTAAATGACTATGTTTGTATAAATACCACCTCAGTTTCTTAGTTTTTAGCAGTCTTAACGGAGCATTAATCATGGACAGTTCCTATGATATAATCCATGAGGAACATCTAGATATTTTCAGAGAACCATCTCGTGTTATTATTGCTGGTTATTCAAACAGTGGAAAATCCTACTTGTGCAGTAAACTTGTAAGGAAGTATCAACACAAGTTCTCCTCAATAATCATATGCGGCGGAGGTTACTCTGAATTACGATCAGATCCACAAATTAAAGGGAAGCTGATCGAGCATTCAACCATTATTGATCCTGTGGAAGAGCGAGTAGATAATGACTCGCACATCTTAGTAATCTACGATGACCTTTTTACAGAGTCTGCGAATTCAAAAATCGTATCAGACATGTTTACTAGGGGCCGACATTTCACGGTTTCCGTCATATTGATTACACAAAATATATTTTTTCCTGGTAAATATTCTAGGAATATTAGTTTAAATGCTTCTCATTTCATATTGGTTAAATCACGAGATCTGTCACAAATTGAAACACTCGGACGACAAATATTTGGGAAAGTGGATTCAAAGAAATTTGTAGAGTTATATAAGCAAGTTATTAGCCAGCCCTACGGCTATTTGCTAGTAGATCTGGGCTCGAACACTCCATCTACGATAACATTACGCGGTAATATTGTTCACGAACCGCCCTATGAGATAGTTTACCAATGGTGAGCAAGAAAGATGTACTGGAGCGAGTATATAACGATCCCTCATCTAGCGGAGGGCTTGGAGGGGTACAGAGATTGTATAAGGCCGCCAAATTAATTAACTCTAGTATAACTCTAGCCGATGTAAAGGACTATCTGAAAAGCTCTGACTCCTATACGTTGCATTATTTACAACCGCATAAATTCCCTCGGCGTCGGGTGTTAAGCCCTAAACCGCGACTATTTCAAGCTATAGACTTGGCCGAGATGAGTTTATTGGACAAACATAATGACGGAGTGAAATATTTACTCGTATGCGTAGATATTTTCTCCAGGTACGCCCAAGTAGTACCCTTACGCGCTAAGGATGGGAAAAGCACCACTAATGCTCTAGCTTTAATTCTAGATTCACCTCATTCTCAGGGAGTGCGCAAAATTAATTCTGATCGAGGTGGAGAATTTTATAACGCCGCTATGAAAAAAATGCTGGCAGCAAGGAAAGTACGGTTATATAGTGTATTTTCTCAGGAGACTAAAGCTTCAATCGCTGAGCGGTTCATACGTACTTTAAAAGGTAAACTTTACAAGTTTATGACGGCGCGCAACACTTTAAAATACATGCAGGCTCTACCAGATATTGTGAAAACATATAATTTAACCCCACACAGAGGATTGAAGGGGAAGACACCTGCGGAGGTGCACGCTCTATCCTCGCCCAGCGAACACGCCAAACAATTTGATTTAATGTATAAAAGCCCGAGCAAAACAAAGAGAGCTATTCTAAGAGAGCTCTAAGAGAGCGTGCATGTCATTCCTCGATTGAGTGTTGGTGATACAGTACGCATCACTCTATCTGATCGCATTTCCAAGTTTAAGAAAGGGTTTAAGCAGCAGAACACCCGAGAGATCTTTACAGTTACACGTATTGATCGGAGACAACACATCCCTTTATACTTTCTAAAAGATCTGAATGGGGAAGAAATTGATGGTGGCTTCTATAAACAAGAATTAACACCAACACATTTGCCTCAAACCTTTAATATTGAGAAGGTATTGGGACAACGCAGAGTCTCTGGCAAACTCCAGTATAAAGTTAGGTACGCAGGTTATGATCGATCATTCGATCAATGGATTGATGCTGCTGAGATATTACATTTATAATGAAGAAGCCCTTAGTTTATAAATACAAGGAATTGATCCAACTATTATCAAAACTTCAGTATTCCTCGAGAAAGCAGTTGATTGAAAAATTGAAGAAACCACATATAAATTGTTTATCAGAAATTTTTAATAACTTTTAAAAAAAAAATTGCCCGTGCCTGACAAGGTCGTTAAAAAGTTGAAAAAATATAAATTGCTTATTCGGTCACTAGCCTGTAAGAAACCTTCTGTGACAACTAAGAAACAGATATTAACCAGCAAACGAGGAGGCAGTATTTTATCCATTATTTTACCGATAGCGGCTAGTTTAATTACACGGTTGTTCAGTAAGTAAAATGAAAGCCTTTTATCTCGTACCGCGTAAAATAGTGGACAACCGGAAAGCTGCACACAGCCCTGCCTACCCCACTGTGAAAGCGGTTGCTCGTCATCTTACTGTCAAACCACCACCTCCTCCTCAGTTGCATACCAACCCTTCCATAAAACATTTAATAGATTTGAAGTTGAAAGTGAGAGATCACGAATATGCGAGATCCTTGCTAAACCATTATGATGCTACTGGAATCGTTCGTTGGGATCTGAATGGAAATGTATTGGCTCCAGTATCTGGCATACATATAATTAATGACATTATACATAAAATGACTGTGCTTAAATCTGTTTTTCTACCGGATAAACTCCCCATTGCTCAACTGTTTTTCACACTAACATCTACATCGCGAGATTTATTCCGTAATACTACAGCAAGCAGTCAAGTGTATGAGGCTCCATCTGTTAAGAGAAAGGCGACTGTCAAGATTGATCCTCACAGTAAAAAGAAAGCTTCCTGGATTGTATATTAGCAGGTGAGTGTATATAAATGAGCGTGTAATGTGTAGATGGCTTTACTAGACAAAAAGCGGTCTAAGGAGATAGAGCGATGGACACTCACGTGATATACGCCACCAGCGTATCAGATACGCATTTATTCCCCAATAACATCCCCGCATCTTTCCAAAATCGATTGTTTAACCAGCTAGAATTAGATCCCAGGAGGAGTTATGAAATGTGTCTACAAAAATTACTCCTCCCCACTTCACATTACGTTATTAAGCGTGATAATCCCGAGGCATATATACGTGTAGGCGTTACGTATGAGAAAGTGAGCGAGGGGAAATACATGCATTCAAAGCATTTATTATCATCTGATGTTTTAGCCGGAACTATAAAAGAAATTAATACCAGGATTAATACAGAAATAGAGGCCATATTTTCAAGTAATGCTAAACTGAGTTTTTTAGGAAAGTCATTAAAACAATTTTCAGCTAAATATGGAACGCATTTTCTTAAATATGATTCTTCCTCCAATCGAAACAAGTTCACTACTGTGATTAGTGATGAGAATATTAGCTCTGCAACGGGGCATAAAAACATCAGTAGAGTTACATTATCATTTGGAACCGCTTTTAGGAAAGTGTTGGGCGTAGTTCCAGAAATAGAATATGACATATTCGCAAAACGTCAGTACGCCTCGAGTGTAGTTAACACATGTCTATTCCAGCCAATGCCTAGAGGAGGAGTTGATATTCTGTGTGTTTATTGCGATAGAATCTCTTCTACTAGATATGGAAACCAGTCTGTAAATATTTTGGATGTAATCTCCCTAAATGGAAGTGATAACAGCAACAATAAAAAACTATATGTGCGTCTTAACACTAACATGATAGATAGCGTCAGCATCACTGTTAGGGATCAAGATGGTAACCCGATACATTTTGATGAACGTGGGTGCACCATAGCAGTCTTGCATGTACGCCCCGTTGCAGGAGGTATATAACACCAATGCTTTCCCGACACTCCTCATTCGTCTGAAACAAGCGGAGAAATGCGTGTCCACTTTATTCCCCCCTCTGTTGAGGAATTATACATTCTGTTAACCCCTCCTAGAGGTGGAGGGACTGATGATATACGGATTTTCAACAGTAGTAGACGTTATACGCGAGGAGGAGGAATATTTTCCTTTTTAAGCGGGATAGCGCGTCGAGCAGCGCCCTTCATCATGAGGACTCTGGCCTCGGCTGCGCTTAGCTTGGGGCAGAACGTACTAGACGATATTAATAATGACAAACAAACTTTCAAACAATCTCTTAAGAAACGCGGAATTGAAACATTGAAAGGAGTAGGGAAGCAAATGATAGGCGGAAGAGTGCAGAAAAAGAATAAACAAACAAACAAAAAATTAGTAAACATCAAACGTTTTACTAAAGCGAAATATAATGATGTGTTGTCATAACTTCTTCTCACTCGGTTGGTGTTGTCTAAAGCGCGAACATGGCCGGATATAACGCTCTCGGCCTTCAGGTGCCATTAGAACATTATACAGCTGCTGTTAGTGAAGCCTTTCCTAAAGTATTTTCCCCTCGATTGGTAGAATCAACAATCGCCAGCAGACAAACGGTGGATGTATTACCTGTGAATTCTGGGGTCAATAATAAGTTTACAGACACTTATCTGGAATTCATCATCAAGGGAGTGAATGGTCAACTGGTGGATTTATCATCTATAGCTTTGGAGTTGACTATTGATCTAACCGAAGAAGATGGAATAACGCCTTTAGGAGATGCTAAAAACGCATCGTTGGTGAATGGATTATCGCAAACTCTATTCAAATCCGCTATTGTGTATTTAAACGAAACAGTGGTTGAAACCAGCTCATTATTCTCATTCTGGTCATACGTAAAGTTATTATCTACGATTTCTGGGTGTAAGGCTAACCGCTATGATAAACTGTCACAGTTTTTTAACCGAGTTGATCCTGGTAAAATTGAAGCTGGTTATTTCACTAATGCCTCGGCTAGTGAGAAGCAACGGATGACTGATATGAAAACGAGTGGCGTGAATACATGTTTTAAACTAATGCTGGATGTCACATCCGTTAGTGAATACGTTTTGGATAATGTGGACATCAGGGTGAGGGTCGAACTTCAACCTTTTAAGTGGCTTATACTCAGCGATAATGAACATGCTAATTTTAAATATAATATCAAGTCTACACGACTATGGGTGGATCGGGTATTGCCTTACCCTGAAGGATTAGAAGCCATTAATAAAGGGGTCATCTAGATGGAAATTGAAAGTTGTTGTAGGGCATTGAAAATTTATTATCCTGATACATGTGAAAGGTGCTGCAACTGGGCCAAGTATCAGCATCGCAGCCTAAATAGAGAGGGAGAAAAAAAAATAAAAAAGTTTTTTTAGACAATTTTTCAACAATGTTCAAATCATTTCACAGGCCACAATTGTGAACCGAAATCAGTTCTATGAAACTTAGCTATGACCTTACTATATAATAAAGATTTGTGTGGTGGATTTTTATCCCAGATGTATTTAGTGCAATAATACAGATTTTGTAAATTTCCCAAAAATTCTATGCACTAATATGATATTTATAAATATTTATAAAATCAATAAATCTACGTAGAAAGAAAAGCCACCACAATGTTTTAGAGGCATAAACTTTACATATAATGTGCAAGTTTCATGTAAATTGAATAATAAATAAAGTCTGTGAAATCAGATAAAATTTTAAAATATTTACCTGCACAAACGGAGGTTAAAGTTCAGCCACCTTTAGCTGAGGTTGATGTTGACCGATATCATTCAAAATTTGCACCCTTGTAGATAGGCATGGGTTCAGTAAGGTGTGCAAGTTCCATGCAGATCGCCTGATAAATAAAAAAAAAAAAAAAAAAAAACAATAATATATATATATATATATTTGCCACCAGTTTTATATGTACAAATATATATGAAGTAATATCACAATATAACACTAAAACATACTAACCTAATATAATTGGTCAGAAATATGGGTCCTCAAGGTGGCACTGGAGTGGCACTAGTAGGCACCTGCGCCATAGCCGGGGTCAGCTTCCTCAGGGGCCTTTCTTGGTTTGGTTGTGGGTCTCGTTGGTCTCTGCATATCCTTGTCCTTTTTGTTCAATTACCAGTCCCGTACGTCACTTTGTGGTAGACCGAGGAGGTTGTTCAGTGATCCCATCACATACCCAGCGTTATAGTTGACAGCTGTCATTGCCATGGCAAATTCAACCATTACACGACTGCAACAGCACTTGAGGTGCTGGGCCCTGCAACATCAAGAGCGAGAACGTCTGGAGTAGCAGGTGGAACGTCTGGAGTAGCAGGTGGAACGTCTGGAGTAGCAGGTGCAACGTCTGGAGTAGCAGGTGGAACGTCTGGAGTAGCAGGTGGAAGACCTGGAGTAGCAGGTGGAAGACCTGGAGTAGCAGGTGGAACATCTGGAGTAGCAGGTGCAAGACCTGGAGTAGAAGGTGGAGAATGTGCGGTGGCAGAGGGTGGGATTGTGGGGGGGGGGGTAGCGGGCTGCAACAAGTTCCTCACACTCGCGGCTGAGAGGCCTCCACGATCTTCACTCGTCAAAGTGCGTAATCCATGGATTCTAGCCAGCTCGCACCTTCTACGGGCAGCTAGCATGCTTTTAGCTTTCAGAGTTTTCCTCATCTTCGTTTTGTACGTCATTTTGCAGTAAAAATAGCACAAATACTGATAATTCTGGGAGATATTGTGAGCGCGCGTCCACGATAGATCCGCTAGCTATCGGACACAGAGAGTGACTGACTTATGTTAGCAATCCCATCCCTCCCTCACTCGCGACTGTTGCCAATAAGTGAGTTTATATTTGTTTTATGCATCACACGTTATTTTCAACGCTATTACGAAATATTAGACAGCTACAACGTAAGACGCAATACCCCACGGCGCACCCAGGCCGCGAGAACCGGAATGGGGAAACTTGCAGCGGGAATTTTGACTCTAATTACGTTATTTTTCAAGATAACATGAAACGGTTTTCACCACAGTGTTGCCAGAACGTTGTAGTATTTTTCAGAATGTTTTGTAAATTTTCGAAATTTTTCGGATTTCAGCAGAGATGTCCCCTAAAGCCATGGTGCAGAACAACTCTCCTATTACGTATACTTTTAATAAAACTTTATACAAAACGTATATATTGGGCACAGGTCAGCGCTCTATAACAATGGACCAGCCGTGGGGGACTGTTATACCAGAACATTTATATATGATCATCCTTGATATGGAGGCGGTGTCTGGTGCATATAATCGCAACCCGCTTTATTTGGAAAACTGCGAGCTTAGTAAAGTATTAATATCCCAGAATAGCACTAATATTGTCAATATTGGGTGTGACTTCCCTCATAACTGCGCCAAGTTGTATTACACAGCATTACAAGCCTTAGGCTTCGATAAAGACAATATATTATCTTATGACACATATGTGAATGGTGGAACCATACTGGCCTTTAATTTACAACCCGAGGATATCGATGACACCATCCCGATTGAAAAAAGTGGTAATCTGAGGATCGCTTTGGAATTTAAACGTGGAGTAGCTAGAAATAAAGTCATTCTAGTTTATGGGTCTACAACGGGTGTGATCAGCATTAACGCGGATCGTCGCGTTATTTGCGGTACGCGAGGATAAAATACTAATATGAATTGTTTGGAAATAAATGAGGCTATCAGAAGTAATTTAGGTGCTAAGGTAGACTATCTAGGATGTTTCCTAGCTGATGACGTCTGGAAAATACTGACAAAAATACATAAAAAAAGACCTGTGGTGTTCATAATGAACACTCTGGACTCGGGTTCTCGTAATAAAATGGGTCATTGGATAACATTCTATGTAAATAAGGATGAAGGTAGAAGCGAGATAGTTATACTAGACAGCTATGCCAATCCTGCAATAGGATCTTATTCAAGATATTTCGAAGAGTTTATGTCCTACTTCCAAGACTATACCCTATATATTATGAAGAAAAGGATTCAATCCTTGAATAGTTACTTCTGTGGGAATTACGCCGTTTATTTTGCATATCATTTTTGCAGACTAGGCTTAGAGGCCGCCCTGCTTCACTTTGATGAAGCGTTTAAATATGGTCATTTTCGCAAGAATGATGAAAAAGTGTTGAAATTCAATTACGCTCAGATGAAAATGCCTGTGTGTAAGCAAACATTCTGCTTAAACGGTAGCGATGCTGAGTGTGAAACGCTGTGTGACGAAGTTGGCTAGGATGATAGTGCGGTGAGTAATACTTTATGTAGGATTGAATGATGAACACAATAATGTCTGTATTTATGTTTACAACATTGACAACAACAAAACTTATAACCTTTTCCACTTTCTACAGATTGACTGCTTGACTAGCGTGTTGGGAAGGTTCGATGGACTGAATGAAGGTCTTTCTACAACTGTCTGCTAGCTAAACCACCAAGAAGAAGTCTTATTATTATTATTATCGTTGTAAATCGCTTAAGTGAAATAAAAAGAAATAATCGCTTAAGTGAAATAAAGAAATAAATTTATATAATGTGTTTACTTTTCCCTCGTTATTGCTCTCACCATGTTGATCACGTTGCGATATAGCTTACACTTACTAAAAGAGAATGCACGGAACAATGGTTGATGGTATGGGGGCGGGTGGGGATGAGGGGTGGGAGTGATTGATTGATGGCTGACAAGTGTGGGTCTGTCGTAAGTACCTCGCGCCTCCTTACCAGAATCCACAGTGTATGGGGAGTCGTCGTGGGACGAACATCAACACTCCGAAGACAAATGACCCAAGGGAATGGCCAACTTCTGCAGGAGAGTGCTCTCTCACCCCTCAACACTTGCGACTTCCTGTAGGGGGGCTAATGGTATGTCTAACCACATAACGGCCCAGAGCACTCTCTCCAGACGAAACGGAAGCTCCATAACAGACTGTGTTGCCTTCTCCTCTCATCTACACACTAACTCACGATCAACTCTTTTACTCCTTCCTCCATCTTCCTTCTATTTTCTTACTCTATCACTTGCTAAACACACATATTCATTTCACTCCTTCCTCTTACTCCACCACTTACTCTCACACAACAAGAACTCCAATCTTTCCTAACCACTTACCTTAACCCCCGAGGACTGGAGCGACGCGCTCCAATTACCTCCGACACACGCCATAACTTCCGGGAAATTCCCCCAAAAAAACTTGAGGACGGGAGCGACGCGCGCCACCTGTCAGCTGCCCAACACCTGTCCTTCCGTTTCTTACAACAACACAACTCTTTCTTAACCAGAACACACAGAAAAGCTCCCCAAAACCACGAGGACTGGAGCGACGCGATCCACTTTCCTCCAACACATGTCATAACATCCCGGAAATTCCCCGGAAAAAAACTTGAGGACGGGAGCGACGCGTGGCACCGCCAGGTGGCACTCGACCTGAGCGCCACCTGGCGGTGCCGCGCGTCGCTCTAGTCCTCAACCACACTACTGGCCTGCTTGTGGTCTTTTGGGACTTGTGGTCGGGGTTGAGGGTGTGCAATGGTATCCCATTGTCTGGCTGCTTCGATGAACGTTTGATCATGAGTTCCCGCTGTCTCTCTCATACGCTCTGGTAGGATCTGCCCTACCAATTCGTTGGCTGCTGTACATGAGGATAAGAATGCTGGAAGTGCTACCTCAGTTGCCTTTCGTATGCCTATCCCTCCAAATCTCACTGGTAGTGTTGCTTGGTCCCACTGACTGTCATCTAAATCTAGGTTGAGCGCCTTCCTGAATATTGACCTGAGGAGCTCATCATATTGATGTAGAAGTGGGTTGCCAAAAGTTGGTGCACACCTTAAGAAGTATGTTAGCCTGGGCAAGGTAAGGCACTTTGTGAGAAGGTAGAGGGCATCGTGGGAGTCCAAGTCCCCAACTCTCTCTTCCATCCTCTTTAGGTCTCTAAACATTTCGTCAAGGACTGCAGCAATGGCATTGTGGCCCAGAGGTGCTCCGAGTAGTGTGCTATCGGTAGGTTTAACGACTGAGGCTTCTGGTAAAACTGATTTCACTGCTCTAATGATTACTTCACTGGATGCAATAATTTCGCACTTGGAGGGGTTAAGAACGAGACCCATGGACTCCCCCCGTGTCTTCACCAGCTGCAGGTCTTCCAGCAGGGAATCTTGTGTGCCTGCCAGAGTGCCATCATCCAGGAACCAGATGTTGAGCTCACTGGACAGTCTGGTTGTAATTTCTCGAACCGCTATGCAAAAGAGGAACGGTGCAAGTGGCTCACCCTGTTGAATTCCCTCTGCTGAGGTGACTTCATGTTTGCCAAACAGGAGGGTTGAGTCTTTGCTGTAGCCTGCTGACACAAACGGGAGAATGCTTGGGCAATGTTCCTGGACTGCAGTGAGGATTGCTTCCCTTTTGACCGAGTTGAAAGCGTTTTTAAAATCTAATTTTACTACTGCTTCGTCTTCAGTAAGAGAGCTAATGTAGGCTCGTGCAGCATGAGCCGCTGCTTCACAGCCTTGGGGGACTCCAAACCCCAGCTGGTTGGATTGCAGCATGGTGGCTGCTTCCATTCGGATACTTCTGACAGCAGCCCTTGCAACTAGGCGGCGAAGGGTATTACCAACGGCAATGGGTCTGATCCCTCCCCCCTTCTTTTTCAGGGCACATAGGGATGCACCAAAGAAGAATGGTTTGATTTCATCAGGGATTAACCCGGCGAGGCAGTTGTTGACAAACGTTGTGATTTCTGTCAGGAGCGCTTCTGCAGCTGGGCCAAGAACAGGTTTCACCATTTGCTTCACATGTTGAGGTCTTACCCCTGTGTAGCCTCCTGAGGAGCCCGGGGGAAATGAAACAATAGCTTTATAAACCTCTGACTCCCGGAGGACGAGAGGTTCCTGGTTAGGGGGGACCCTGACCTGTGGGGGAGGTTCACCTACGACCCTGAGGGGGGTGTTTTTCTCTCAGTGCTTGGGCTATGGTTTCATCCCTGGGCAAAATTTTGTCCTCACTTGTGATCAACCTGAGTGCCCCGACTGTATTGCCCTCTTC